CCCAGGTGAGGGGGCAGCCGGGTCCACCCGCATGGACCCTCTGTGGGCTGACTCCTGGCTGCTTTCTTGGTCCATGCCCACTGCCCAGTGTGATCACAGCCAGTGCCCCGGTACCCCAAAATGCCCCGGTTTAGAGAGGACTCGGGAGCCTCCCTGGTTTTAGGGGGTAGACGTGGGGGGGTGGGAGGCCTGTGGGCGAAAACGCTGGGGGTCTGGTATCCACACATTGACCAGGAGTGGACAAGGGTGGGGGGCTGGGGTGCTGCAGAGCTGGGGGCACGGGAAACATGAAGGAGACGCCCCGTGACGGAAGACCCCCTGCGCTCAGCCCCCACACTCTACCGTTTGTAAATCTCCATGGGAACTTGGAGGTTATAAGCAGTTACCACCGATGAGAAGCTGGAACTCAGCCACGCGGCATCAGGGAGACTCGGACACGGGCGGGTCATGGGGGAGGATTCCTGTGGGAAGTGCCCTCGGCTGAGCGTCCCCAGCCCGGGGCCCCCCGAGGGCGCTGAGACCAGGGTGGAGCCTGGGTCTGGGCAGGTGGCAGGACTTCCAAAGGGTCCCTCCCCCTCCCTCCTTGCCCCGCATCCCTCACCTCCCCCTTCCTCCCCATCCCTCCTCCTCCCCGTTAATATATCACAATTAATAAATTGTATAAACCTGTATAAAAAGTGGCTTAGAGAAATATGAAAGCATATATTAAAATTCAGTGAAGACTGAGTATATCCCCCAAAGAACTGAAAACAGAGTCTCAAAAACACATGTGCACCCATGTTCATAACAGCGTTACTCACGAAGGTGGACACGGACCAGTGTCGATGAGTGGGTATATGGGTAGGCAAACCGTGGTCCATCCACGTAACGGAATGGTATTCAGCCTTAAAAAGGAGGGATATTCTGGCACCTGCTGCCACACAGCTGAGCCTGGAGGACACTGCGCCGAGGGACGTGAGCCAGCGCCGTGGGACTCCTCTTGTGGAGGTCCTGGAGCCACCAGGTCATGGGGACAGAGGGCAGGCGGTGGGTGCGGGGGCTGGGGGAGCGAGGGCTAGTGTTCAGTGGGTTCGGGTTGGGACAGAGGCTCGGTCTTACCGGGGAGCAGAGGATGGGGGCAGATGTGCCGCGTGGTGAATGTGCTCATCCGTGTCACTGATCTCTACACTTAAAAAATCGTCACGCTGCTAGATTCTCTGTCCCGTGTATTTTACTACGAGTTACAGAGTGCCTTGTTTGGGAGACCTGGGTGTTTAAAGTGAGGGGAGCCCAGGCTGTGGGACTCAGGATCGTGTGGGACTCTTCTGAGGCCCCCAGAAGGACTGTGATACTCCACAGTCGAGACACACAATATGTGGGTTTTGTTTTGGTTCCTTTTTTAAAAAGGAAGGAGGAATTCCAGAATCACAGTGAGCGGGGCTGATGGCAGCCTGTTTCAAGAATCACCAAGCTGCGCTCTCGTGCATCGGGAGCAGCAGAGATGCAGCCCCTCGTGGCGCGGTGCGGCAGGGTGGTCCTGGGCGCGGGGACTCTCACGGGGTCCCCGATTAACATCTGCACGGTCGGCACACACCCACGGACGTGCTTCGTGGGGGCTGCTCACGCCGTGGCCCTGTCCTACCCTTGACTCCACGTGGTGAGGCCGACACATTCCATCCGTCTCACGACAGGAATTTATGGCATATTTTAAGGGGATGTCCCTCTGTTTTTCAAGTCCAATAAAACCTGCCCTAGTGGTTCAACGCCCTTCCCCTCCCACCCAGACTCCACGTGGAAAAGTCTCCAGGCCGCCAGGAGCCGCCGTGTGGGGACCTGTCCTTTGGGCTGACTCAGGCTCCTCCAGGGCCAAGGGCATCTGACGGCGTCCAGACAGCACGCCTGCCCTAGGGGACGTGGCAGAGGGAGGGGGCCTCAAACCTTTCTACTTCGTGGGACGATGTCTCTCGTGGCCACGTTGCAGGGTTGAGGCTGGGAATGCCAGGTTGGAATGGCCTGGAGACGCACGCAGAGCAGGGTGAGCGGCCCTCTGTTCAAGACAAACGCTCTTTTCTTGCAACAAACTTCTCAAGACATGTTACTACCCATGTATTTCCACCAAAACATTTAAGCTTACACACAATTTTAGGTTGGAGTTCCTTATTTACAGAGTTCAAATGTTGGCGACCTTTGCCTTTGGCGCAGACGCTGGCCAATGAGAGCAGATCCCAGATGAACTTTCTCACTTTGAAACAGTCGGTGTGGGAACAACCCCCAGTGGAGACACACGTCCAGCCCACGCCCCCTCTGCACGCTCGCTGGTGACTCTGGCCCCAGAGGAGTCGGGTCGCCATCCAGCAACGGAGGCCCTGTGGAAACCTTGCGAGGAAAGCCTGGAACCTGCCACATTTCAGAGCCTTGGAAGGCTGGCCGGCTCTTCACTCAGCTGCCTCTCCAGACCCTGGGCGGTGTCATCCCTGCAGCTCTGAAGGGGGATGGGATCCTGGGGTCCGCTGCTGCCTTGGGGCCCCCCGCCCCTCGCTGGCATCCGCGCGTGAGGATTTTGTCTGGAAGAGTCTAGTCGCAGCGACTAGAGCTGACCTTGCTCCCGCTGGAGGATGCGTGCCGCCCAAGCCCACTCGCCACAGGGCCAGGGGGCCGTTCCCTGGACCCCACAGGCTCACGGTGGGGACAGAAGGTTCCAGACAGCTCCTCCCACCTGGTGGTCTTCAGGGCCCCTCCCCTGACTTTTCCAGACCCACTCATGTGTGGACTCCCCAGGCTCCGGTTCCCCTCCTTGGCCCACAGGGGGGCCATCCGTGGTGCTGCTCTGACCATGTTCTTGGGGTCCAGGGAGTGGACCGCTGCCGTTTCCCAGAAAATTCCACCAGCAATGCTTTCTCCTGTTTGAAAACACAAGTCTGAGTCTGTCCGTTCAGCAGCGGGTCAGGCGGCATCCGGGGCAGCAGGAGGAAAGTGCCCCATGAGCCGGCAGGATGCCAGGCCTGGGCATGACCCCCACTGGGCCGCGACCCCCTGCTCAGCCGTGACCCCTGCTGGGGTGCGACCCCTGCTCGGCCGTGACCCCCGCTCGGCCGTGACCCCCCTCCAATGTGACCCCTGCTCCGCCACGACCCCCACTTGGCTGCAACCCCAGCTCCAGTGTGACCCCCCGCTCCAGTGTGACCCCCGCTCCGCTGTGACCCCCATTCGGCCGTGACCCCCGCTCAGCTGCGCCCCCACTCCAGTGTGACCCCCACTCGGCCACAACCTCAGCTCCAGTGTGATCTCCGCTCGGCTGCGACCCCCGCTCTGCTGCGACCCAAGCTCCAGGGTGACCCCCGCTCCACCGTGACCCCTGCTCCACCGTGACCCCCGCTCCACTGCGACCCCCGCTCCAGTGTGACCCCTGCTCCACCGTGACCCCCGCTCCACCGCGACCCCCGCTCCAGTGTGACCCCTGCTCCACCGTGACCCCCGCTCCACCGCGACCCCCGCTC